CACACACACTGTGTGTGTGTGTGCGTACACTGAAAAAATTTATGGCAGTGCAAATAAAAGGTAATCGCAATAACTTCTGTTACATAAGTTATGTATGTAAATATTAGGAAAAAATTTAATAAATTATTAAATTTTAAATTTTGACATGACTCAATTGAATCCAGTGATTCTGTTGTTTTTCCCTTGAGTTAGCAAAACTTAGAAAAATAACTTAGTAAATTAAGACTTTAGACTCGTGAGTCCTAGTCCAGTTTAAGGATTTGGGCTCCAGTTTAAACAGCATTGTGAAAGAAACCTCAAGATTCCTTCAAAGACCACCTCTAGACTGGACCGGACTAACTGTTGAGGCGGAAGGATACGTAGTTGCTGTACTCCGCGGACGGACTTCTTGTAGAAGCGGAATACGKCCGTGGCCTGGTTATATTATTGTTGTGGACTACAGCTGAGCAGGAACAGCCTTGTCTTGTTTTACCTGTTGTTTTTAACTGGGACAGTCACTCCCGAGCTGTTACACTCTGGACGACGAAGCAAGGAGGCGGTTATTAGAATAATTGGTTGTCATTTGGGGAAACAGCGTTTTAAAGGCTTCAGGACTTGAACGTCTCATCGAAGCCGACAGATAAAATGGACTGAAGGTCTTCGGATGGACAGCAGCTCGTTGACATTTTTAATCACTGTCGCATCTTTGAGATATTTCGGTTCACCAAATGAACGTGAACTGGCGCTGTTAGTCGGCTTTGTTAGCCCGATGTGGTCATCGTCGTGTGGGCAGCAGCAGCAGCTATGACGCTAGGTGTAGCCTCGCGGTTATGTCACAGTCGGGCTAACCTACAGTTCGATGCCCGCCGCTGCTTCGTGACCACCCGGCTCGCCAACATGTAGACAGTCCGTCCGGACAGGCAGTTTACCTGGGAGACGAAGCGTGCTAGTGTCCCTGCTGGGTTTTAACCGCATTCATCTGGGTCACAGACAGCTGGCACCGTTTATCCGAGGATTGATGCTGAAAGCTGTCTGATCTGTGATAGTCCAAACATCCCCACTTCGTGCAGGGCACGTGAACGCATCATGTCCTGTCTCTTATTTAAAACTCTGCTTTGAAACAAGCCTGCAGAAGAAGGGAAGTGGATCTGTTTTATTTAACATCTGAAGAGCTTGGGGGCTGAGCTGGTCTCGGCTGGGGTCTCTTCTCGTCATGGAGACTGTGGGGGACTTTGAGTACAGCAGGAAGGATCTGGTGGGACATGGAGCTTTTGCCGTGGTGTTCAAAGGCAGACACAGGAAGGTAATAAAACATCTCATGTCCATGCTTTGTCTCCACAGTTTCTCTGCTGCAGAGTGGCATGTTAAATCTGGGTCAGATCACCTGTCCACACACTTCATTGTGATTGTTCCTACTGGTTTTATTTAGTCCATTCATGAAATGGATGAGTCAGGCAGGCAGGCATCAGTGACTTGCTGACGTACTGAGGCAGGAAGAGGACGGATTTTTAAGAATTACAAGCCTGCACCACCTTCATTCATACTGAGGCAGACAAATCTGACAGATTAATGGAATTAAAGCTTTAAATATGACTTGAAGGGTTGATCTGGGCATGTATGATGGACGACATGTCACCTTGGTCTAATATTTCTCAGTCAAATGGCTCCTGTTTCTTGATAAATGCAATAAACTAGATTAAAGGAGAGAAACTGAAACAGTTGATCCATTCAAACGTCCTGCTTCTTGCTGGAAGCTGTGCAAATGTGTCTGTGCACATCATGTCTTACATGTGTCCATGTTGAAGGTCTGTGTCCACCACTGAGGAACAGGAAGGTTACAGCAGGCTGTCCGGTCCTGGTCTTCCAGGGCCAGGTGTGTTGGAGCAGAGACCCTCCAGGTCCASAACAGGACCCCCTGGGTTAGAGCCACCTGAATGCAACATAACATCATGCTTATAAACCAATATTGTGACCACATCACATCAAAACCAGGATTAAGTCCAAAACTGGAGAAACAGGCAGATACAGGGTTTTTATTTAAAGGTGGGCAAAAATAGCATTTTGTCAAAATATAATGAATTAATGCCTTATCAATGTTTCAATTGACTGTCTGATATATATATATAAATAAAAATAAATAAATATAT